CATAAGGGTTTCTTGAGGTAAAGGTTTTCATGTTGATATTGTTTAAAGGTGATATTATGACTTACTTGATGTTTATGCTTGTATTGTATGTCTTTTATGCAACTATTCATGGTACTTCAAAAAGTGGCATAATGCATGGTTTCTAACCAAAATGTTCCTTTTAAAGCATGTTTTGCATGGTCATCATACTTAGTACTTAATTGTGCTAATTCCATATTTCTCTATTTTCTATAAGTGTAGGTTCCGGCAAGTGATCCCTCCTAGCTAGTTTGAAGTGTTGGATTGCTTTCCTCCAAGACTTGGTATGTCCTCATGGATTCGAGGATAAGACTTTTAAGTTCTTTTGTTCATGTAATAGACTTAATAGACTTCTTTTGATTGTAAAGGGCCGTGTCCCTACTTATGTTTTGTGACTGTGTCTAAGATGGCCATGTGAGACTTAGACTTCCGCTGTGTGTTTTTAAAGTTGTTTTAATGAAGTTTAAATGTGTGGATGTAAATAAGTTTTTTTTTATTCCGCACTATTTTCATTATTGAATGCAATGAATGACTATGTGGCTCGTATAAGACCCCTTCGGGGTCGAATACGCCATGTTACGACTAGGGGGTACTCTCGGGTCGTGACAGTGATGTTGATGCCAATGCCAAAAATGTTAACACAATAACACTACATATGAACAAGAAAATGAAAATGTAGTAAATAAAAATTTCAATGTAAACCAATAATTATTTAAATTTGATATAAGAAATTGGTTAGAAATATGAAAAATATCATACTTATACTAATAAGATCATGTAATTGATATCATACTATATATAATGGCAAAAATAATAATCAATGAGAAGCTCTCAAGCAATATTTTAAAATAAAAATAAAATACAAAATTTTCATGTGGATATTTTTATTTTAAAGGTAATACTCAAATTATTATATCTAAGAGAATAAATTCAGAATCACAATTTAGTAATGATATTATTTGAGTTACAAATGAAATACAAAATGAAAAAAGTTTTACCAAATACCAAATACTTAACTGAAATTTAAAATTTTGATATTTGGTATCTACTTTTAACTACCAATTTTGAGTTACTGAATTCGAAATTTAGAAATCTCGAACCTCCACCCTAACACTGATTATACAATATAGCTTGCCAAAAGTTAGGATTGGCAAAATTAAGCCCATTCACCCAACCAGTTTAAGTTTGGATGGGTTATTGATCCGCTTATTTATTAGGTTAACTCATTTCAATCCATTAAAATTTAGGTGATATGTAACAAATATTGAATCAACAAAAATCTTATCAAAATATTCTTAAATAACTTTTTAAAAAATTTGATATGTTATATATAGCCATTATAAAGAAAAATAATAATTTTATTAGGTACTAAAATATTGTAAAAAGAACAATAAAATAAATAAATCATAGTAAAATTTGGGTTGGATTGAGTTTTGACCCGTTCTATAACTCATTACCGGACTTGACTCAAGCAAATTTGAATTGGGTTGGGTCTTGACCCGTTTGTTATCATTACCCATTAAAAGATTCTATAATTGGGACTCACCTATACAACCTTAATTATTTGTTGTTTTTATGAAAAATATATTTTTCTATTAAAAATTTACATTTTATAAATACAATTTTTTTTATTTATGATTATATTATAAACTGAATTTATTTGCGTAATTATTATGTTTATTTATATTTTGATTTCTCTTACATATCTTTCATTAAATTTTTTATTACTCACTTAATAATTATATTTTATCTATAATTAAAATGTGGATAACTTTAATAATAAATTTTCTTTTGAGTTTTATTTTTAAGCTAAAAAAGATGAAAGTTTTATTTTTAAACTAAATAAGATGAAAGTTTTATTTTTAAGCATAATTAAGATGAAAATCTTATTTTTAAGCTAAATAAGATGAACATTTTATTTTAAGCTAAATAAGATGAAAGTGTAGCATTATAGTTTTTTCTAAAATTATCACTAAAATATTGTATTCCCTCCAATATATTTGACACTCCCTCCAATTTCTAATTGGCCAAAAAAATAATTCATAAAGAAATAAAAAAGCTCACCACTATACGTTTTTGCCCCAAATCAAAATAGGAGCTGCTAAACCCTATTTCCCTCTCCGTCACATTTCCACCCATAAATTGTAACTTTGTCGAGAAAAAAGTTACAATTGTAAAAAAAATCCATACAGAAAAAAGAAATCTTCAGCTTCTTCAAGAAGAAGACATGGACTGAAATGGCTAACAGAGACGCAGTTCCAAAAATTTTACCCAAAGGTGAGGAAAAAGATCCTCTTTTTCGACACCCCAAATTCTCAATTACTAGTTGTTTGTTGTTAGTATTTCATTTTCTTGGATTAGTATTGAAAGAATTTATTTGGGGTTTATGTTAATGCAATGAATCTTGATGATCATGATGAGTATCAATCTTTCTTGGGTGTTTTTCATCAGTTTAATACATGTTCATATGAGCTGATTGTTTAGATTCTTGATCACTGCTAATGAATTTCTGGAGAGTTGTTAAAGTTGTATTTCCTCCTTCTTTCTACAGATCTTGTTGTTACTGTACGTTTCTCTCTTCTTTGATGACGGATGGTAATTTCCCTACTTCTCCTAGGCCTTCATTTGGGAAACTGAAGAAACAGTTCGAAGAACTCCGACATCGTTTGGAGGAGTTGGGGAGTCTATGGTAGCGGATATGGGTTGTGGTGAAATATTTATCTGAAAGCTTGTAAATATCTCCAAAATTGTCTATTTTCACACCGATTGAGTGATGTTGCTAGTGAGGTGAGCACATGAGGAACTTCACATTTTAAAGATTGTAAATATCACACAACTTTAACAATTTTGAACTCAAACCATTTGAAAGGGCTAAGATAAAATTTCATGAAAAATGGGGTGCCTAAGCTTCAAAGGGATGTTTCCTTTGCAATCTCATGAAATAGCACTAGAAAGTTTGAGTTAAAGTTTCATTGGATTCTAATTTCATTTACTTCGAAAGTCCTAGTGAGAATCCTTGGTGGTGGAATCATCTCCAGCAACTCGAGTTCAAGTTCGCTGCCCAAAAGGAGGTAGAATACTTTTAACTTTACTTCGTTTAATATTTGTTAGTTTTGAGTTTGCATTGTTCATCACCTTATTGGTTATTATGTGTTAAGATTGAGTGGTTTGGTAACAAAGTTTGCATTTATCATGTGGGAAGTTTAGTCTACATGAAAGAGCTCTTGATTCTTTCGCTTGAGTGCTATCAGATTATCTTTCCTCTATTCTGCTTCCAATGCCTACATTCATCTGTTCGCATCTCGTATTTAAGTTATATGACTATTTATCTCATTGAATGTCACTGTTCGACCCTTGAGATAAGCTTATGTTTTAGAGTCGTTTGATGGATATTTTATACTGCCTTGCTTCAAGCAGTTGGTTGGAAAGTTGTGTTGATTGAGTGATATAGTTCTTGAAGAGCTACTCGCTGAAGAACACGATTTCACGATTTCTTGTTGAAGACAATTCACAGATGAACACGCCTCACTAAAATGCTTCATCACATTGAAAGGATTTTGATGGAATAGGGTTTATCAGGTAAGAAATTTTATAGTCGAAATTTTAGCTTTAGAGTTTTGATATTCTTGTGTATGGGAGTTTGTGGGAAGTTGATAAATACGTGTCTGCATATGTTGAAAGCATATGGTTTGATTCTTTTCAACTTTTTCTTCTTGAAAGCAATTTTTCTTGGACTTATTTAGCTGGGTATTGAATTATTGTCTTAACACGTGTACTGTCATTAACTTGAAGCAAGTAGCGTATACCATTTCATATGCAAAACAACAATAATCAAGTCTCTATGTCCTCTGTTTCAGATCCATCTTTCCCACTCTTCCTCCATGCAGAGAATCATCAATTGCTTCAAACTACTGCAACCATGGTATTAGATTCTTCAAAAATTGGGATAAAATTTATATGAATAACATAGAAAAGTAAGAACGACAAGCACAAGAAAAGATATAAGTTTGAGTTCAAACATGTAGTCTATTTATATTCTTCAACATCGTCATGGCAAGGGTATGATTGCAATAACTTCTTCTATTTCCAGTTATGGTTACCTTTTGATCCACTTCATTGCCTTGTAAATTTACAGGAAGCTGGCGTGGACTGGATCATTCATCTTGATACTGATGAGCTAATGCATCCAGCTGGAACTAGTGAGTATTCTTTACGGAGACTTCTGGTAGATATACCTGAAGATGTTGACATGGTCATATTTCCTAACTATGTAAGTCATTGAGATTGCTCTAGGTTGTCTTCTAACTCTGTCTAAGCATGCAATTACATGCACGAATAGTCAAAAAGCATGCATTTGCTTCGTTTTCATATTCTGCTGTCTTTTTTCTTGTTAATATCTTCTCTAATGATGACAATTATTTCAGGAGAGCAGTGTTGAGAGAGATGATGTGAAGGAACCTTTTAGTGAAGTAAGATATCTTTTCACTGTATCCTTTTTTCTTATCTTTCAAGTTCTAGAGTTAAATTCAATCATTTGTCTAGGAATAGGTTTAGATTTTCTTGAAATAAATTTGGATATTTCTATTACCCAATACTTGAGAATGGAGCAACATCTAGTAGTCAAAGAGTCATCTCTTTCCAGACGAATGAAAAAGAAGGTTGCGTTGGAGTTAGACACTGTGGAGGCAAGAAAGTAAAATTTTATCTTGCAAATATAAGTAGCTTGAGTGTTAGACCTTACTCTTTGTAGCAGCTAGAATTTCTTCGAGAAAGTTTGCGTAGTCTGTAATTTATTTTAATTATGCAACTAAAGTTCTTTTAGACTATTTACCAGTAATATATATGTATAATGTGGTAGGTCTCTATGTTCAAGAAGAATTATGGCCATCTCACAAAAGAAATGTACTTTGGAAACTACAAGGAAGCAACTCGTGGTAATCGTAACTACTTTTTGACTTACGGAAATGGTAAATCAGCTGCTCGAGTTCAAGGTCATCTGTGTTCTAATGGTGCTCATAGATGGCACAACTACATGAAAAGCCCAAAGTATGCTTGTTCTGCATGTTACTTGTTTTCCTTTTATCTCTATTTTGTTTCTTATTTATTCCCAGTCCTCCAAAAGGTATTTTGCGTGGTTCCTTCGATTCTATGCTTGTCTTGGTGTCTTCAGTAGAGTGTCTTGGTTTTGTTGGAGTTGAGTTTCCTCTTTTTCCATGCTTTGTTTGGTGCGACTGCTATCCTGATTTACTGGACCCCTCTTTGGAGTAGAGTGTATTGATCTTGTGTGATTGCGACTGCTACCTGTCTTGGTGTCTGCAGTAGAGTGTATTGATCTTGTGTGATTGTGACTCTGTTTTGCTAGAATTTGCTGTGTCATCTTCCCCTTTTTCCACCTTGATTTCAGCTTGATTGTTGGTACCCTGCCCCATAGGGGAAGTAAAAGCAAAAAAGATATCTACTTTGAATTTTATGAGAATTCAACCAATTCTAGTTCTGCCTGGGTTCCCAAAGAGAATATCTTGGGATTTTTCTCTATCTAAATCTAGAGGAATTCTAGGAGCTCTAAGATAGATTAAAGCTTCATCTGAAAGTTCCATGCTACACCAAAAGTAAAACAAAGTTGAATTGTTGCAGCTGAATTGTTGAGCTCTAAGATAGATTAAGTTAGAATTCTAGGGACAATCTTTTAGGACTCGAGTACTTGCACTGAATTATCTCAGGATCAAGCTCTGAGATTAGTCCTAGTAGAAGTGTCTGCTAAAATAAAATGTGAAATAGCTCTGCATTTTCCTATGTAGTAAGATAAAGATTTCTAGTTATGAGTATTTAATCATTTGGAGGTCAATCATCAGTAATTTCAGCTCATCTGGAAAGAAAATAACATAACAATTACATTTAATCTGAGACTTGGCAGCAACTCATATATATACACTATACCCATAAAGATACCCTTCACACTTGTTTTAGAGAAGACTGCAATATTGCTTCCCTTTCATATTACCACTCTCTCAACTTCCACTTGCCAGTACTAGATAACCAAATAATTTTATTATAGTGATTTTTTTGTGATCGAAGTGACTTGATTGTATAAATATCTTTTACGATGTTAAGTAACTGTGCTGGTAAATTGAGTCTAAGGTGTGTGTGGCACTCCACACTTTTTCCTTTAGGAAGATGGAGGAAAAAAAAGTAGTCAGAGACATGACGTTCAGGTCTCTTTTTTGGGTTATAGTAACTTTATACTTTTATTAAACAAGACCCTTCACTCCAATAGAACTTCTCACTTTTATAACTGCTGCAATTCGATTTGTTGTACATGGTTTGTTTTGATTGTTAATTTCTTTTTAAATGTATAGGGAAATGGAGGTGATCAAGTTTGAAGGTTCGCCACAAGTCAATTTGATCTCATTGAAGTGGAAGTGGATAGTGAAGAGTTTTTGAACTATTGTAGAAAATTTGAATACATTATATTTGATTTTATGAAATATATTCATTGCTAGAATATATTGAACTATTGTAAGAGTACTTTTTGAACTATTTTGTACACATATTTAGAATATTGCTTTATAAGTATGTATGTACACAAGACATACTATCTTTTGAAGTTTATTGCAAATCTATATATTTGAATTACTTATTAGCTAATTTAATGTTTGAGATTATTTATTGCAAAATAATATTGGTGTTTTTTAATTAGAAATTGTGGCATATAAATATTTTATAGCCAAAATAATATTACCACACTTAAAAGTGTAGCCAAAGGACTGTAAATTGTGGTATGCACATGGGCAAGGACTACACTTCAAAGTGTTGCCATACATAAGATAGAAAAGGCAACACTTTAAAATAGTGGGCAATAAGGAAGCAAAGGCCACACTTGGCTTATGGATTATAAATTTTAGCATGTATATAAGAAAACTTACACTTAATAAGTGTTGTTGTAGATGAGATATAAAAGGCGACACTTTTAAATTGTGACCAATAACAACAGTTCAGGTACTTTAATGGTCGGGTTTTAATTTATATATAGTGACTATGGTAGTCAGCAAGTATTTTCCGGCGCTCGGTCTGCCGACTACTCAAAAGTAATTAGAAAGTCATTGGAAAACTCCATTTTCCGACTACATTTCGACCAATTTTGAAGTCGACAAACAACGAAATTCTACTAGTGTAATATATTCAACATTTGTATTAAATGTCGCTTCTTTAGCAACACTTTTGCTAAAAGTCGCTAAAATCAATGACATTTTACAACAAATGTCACTATTTTAGTGACATTTTTTCTAAATGTCACTAAAATCAATGACATTTTACAGTAAATGTCACAACATATTCGACATTTATATTAAATGTCACTCTATAAGCGATATTTTTACTAAATGTCACTAAAACCAATGACATTTTGTAATAAATGTCATATTATATTCGACATTTGTAGCAAACTGTGATCATTTATATGACATTTTCGCTAAATGTCACTAAAAACAACGACATTTTGCAATAAATGTC